TTTTTTTTTTTCTATTCACTGCTATCATCTTTCCACCGAATTCAATTCAACTTTTGCCTTCCTCAATTACCTCATTCAGATGCATCACCTCAATAACGATGAAGAATCTCAAATATAAGTCAAAAAAAAAAGAGCGAAAGAAAATTACAGATAAAAAATAGCAAAAGATTGAAAACCAAATAGTTTTGAATCTTTTCTGGCTGCTTCTTTTAGTTTCCAAAAATTATTATTATATTATATAACTAACGCTCGTTCAGCAAAAAAGATTAATTGCTTACCATTTGGTTGTGTGTGCACTTTTCACATTACAAAACCTCTTTTAATTTCCTCAGATTATTTTTTTTACTTCTTTTGCACATTAATAATTCCACAAAAACTTAAAGAACTTTATATTACAAATAATTCAAAAATCCCAGAATTTTTTGGCGAACAAAGAAAAGATAAAAAAATGAACAGATTTAAAAAAAAATACAACAAAAATAGAACAACCTGAAAAACTTAAGAAACACTTGGTGAATAACCGTTTCTTCAGCATTTTCTCTTCATCCATTTCATCCCACTTCTACTGGAACATACAAAAAAAGGAGGAAGAATAATATCTACCCACACAGTTTTTTTTTCGCTTTTTGAAGGGAAAAGAAGATATATTAAAATTCTGGTATATCTTTTGACTGCAACTTAAACGGACGTTTTACCAACAACAACGACTATGCAGTAACAACAACCAATATGATAAAGGAAAAGGAAATAAGTTGCAACTAAAAGTACTCACTCAACATTATGACAACATGAGAACAGTTGCAAACAGTTCATGCAAAACAGATGACGAACTAACTTCGATAATCACGTCCGACAACAACAAAAACAGGAACAACACTCACTTTCGTCATCATCATCATCATCATCAACCCTTCAGATTATTCTATTCTATCAACCCTTTTGCCCTGCCTAATATTCCGTCTACAAAACCAAAAACTTCTTTATGTGCTGTTTGTGCAATTGAAATATTACTAACAATAAAAATTTAACGGTTAAAA